TTCCACATTCCCTCACTAATGCTATCTTCTTTTTTAATCTTTAAAGCCTCATTAGAGAAACATGATGATATACTGACCATGCTATAGGCATTTTGTAGAGTTAGGACACTGAGCAGTTGCTAATCCTTCCTTACAAGAATTTTGGACTGTCCCTAAATCACAGTATTGTTTCACCTGAGTAGATTGCTTTGCCAAACTTTTACAAAAGTTGGTTTTGGCTCTGAGGATTCTTATTACAAGAGTCTGGTCACATTTTCTTTCTGGGCTTGATAGAAAACAAGTGAGGTTTATGAACATTTTATGTCTGAAGACTAACACATATTGAAATTATACTTATTGGTTTTGTGAGATTTTATGAGCATTTAAAAGTACATTCATCTGTGTTTTACAAATTTCCAGGAAGAATCTATTTCAGGATATTATATCAGTTATCTCTTGGATGCTTTTGTTTATTTCTATGTCATTTTTCCCTGTTATGTATATGTGTTGCTTTTGTTTGCATTTTATTTTTATTAAAAATAATACATGTGAGAACAAAAAGAAAAGAAATTGTACTTATTGGGTAATTTAGTAATCTGATCTACCTTTGTGTGATTATAATCCTATATAGATAAAAATTCTATAGAAATCTGGTTTTGTAGACAAGCTAGTAAAAGTAACTATTCACAATGGCATACTTGTATTCAGGATATCTGAGCTCATTACAAGTAAGAAATGTGAAAATCTGTTCAGTTAGGGGTTTTGTGTCGAATTTTTGTTTTTTAGCAGTACTAGGGATTAAACCCAGGGCCCTGTGAATGCTCCACAAGCACTGTACCATGGAATGACACTCCTAGCTCCAAACTATTGTAATTATGTTTTTGAAGTGTTAAATAAGGCAAGAGGCCCTGGGTTCAATCCCCAGTACCAAAAAAAAGACCTACTTAGAGGGTTTAAATAATCAACAGATTGTGGAATAAAATTACAATGCTTTTCCTTTTTTCACAATGCAGAATTCTCCAAAACACCAGTGGGGAGAAGAGGAACCAAATTCTCAAACGGTAATAAATTATTGGCCTTTCTAA